ATTCTTCTTCCTGCTTCTTCCATCTAAAGTTTGTACTGTTAACCATAAATCATGCGTGACAATCAAGCTCATGTGGATTAATGAAAAACTGATGCAATAACCACTATTTCTTGGTAGCAGTTTCCTCCCCGACGGGGTCTCTCTGGCTCAGATGTGTGAGGTCCCCACCATGAATAATTGCTGCTTTGGAACGGCTTTCTCAAGGATAAAGACACAATCATTACCTGACCCTGGCTTGCTTAACATGCAGAAACAAGACTAGCTGGCAGAGTGACTCACATTTCATGATAAATATGATCCAGTAACGTAAACCTTTACATTTAAAAAAGAAAGTAACTGGTAAGCACTTTTTTCCTAAGTTGGGTAGCTTCTCTCTAAGTGAGCTCACCCTGTCTCACTTAACTTACAGAAACACATAAGCTGACTCACAAAAATCGGGCACGACCCACCAACCAACTTCTGCAGACCTACAACAGTGAACTCATCAAGTTCAGTTGCTTTACTCAAACCAGGATAAGGTGAGCTGTCAGATCACTCAGTAGTAAAAGGGGAAAGAACATCTGCAGCAGGACATCTGTGTCCTCTCACAGAAGCTGATTAGAGTCAATGTGACTCACTGCACAAGTTATCACACAAACACAGAATGAATCTTGGCGTCCTGAAGCATGGGGCAGGGAACGTTTTGGGTGGGTGAAAACAACTCCCCCTCTAACTTTTCAGTCAGACACATTTGCAGGACCAGAAATTCCCGACCCTGCTCTACGCCCTCTCTGAGGCTGCTTCTTGATGTTTCTTCCCATTGAAGGTTTTTCCTTCCACAGAGGACGTTTGGGGGTCTCGCTCAGCCTGACTTTTGACATGTTGGGCACTATATAAATTACTGTAATGGCTTCAAATGCAAACGCGTTTATTTGTGTTTTTGTTTTACCTTGAAGTCATATGTGTAGTTGGTGTAAGGCATCAGATTGCTGTCGTAGGCGCTCTTGAGCTGGAAGCTGTGTGTGATGCTTCCATCCGAGTTTCCGTTCTTGCCGTTGCAGTTGAAGTTGGTCAGACATTCGCTGTAGCGTAGCTCCTTAAAGTCCTTGTGGTTCTCGGCCACTCCTCCATTGCTCAGATACTCCACCACACCTGCATCAAAGAGCAGGAACATTAGTGAGATATTAATTAGAAATGTATTTAATTATTAAGGAAAAGAAACTCATGACATCATTCGTGGCTTTAAAGGGAAACTGATGATGGAAACCACGCTGGCAACAAATGAATATACAGACACGTTCCCATTGCCGGTAAAAACAAAGAAAAAACGAGAAAATAAAATAAAATAATGAAGGTTCACATTTTTTAACACGCATAGGTCATTTTAATCAAGCGAAATCTATTTTTCTTTGTTATGTATTAATTGTGTCAAGTTATCAGGTGTCCAAAATGTATCAGGTGGGAACTTTAATCAGGTTTGGTTGATTTATATGGAAAGACCCTGGTTCCTGATAAGTGACAGAGCCCTACCGGAGTCAGGCAGCGAGTTGAGGTCAGCGCACAGGACGATGGGGATTGAGGACGGGTCAGAGGTCGGCGATCCCGTTGCCACAGAGCCCGAGGCCCTCTCAGCAATGCTCTTTAACTCTGACAGGAACATCATGGTTTGGATCAACTTGACGTCCGAGTACTCAGGGTCCCAGTGCATGTGGGCGTTGGCCACCAGGATGAGCTGCCTCTCCTGAGGCGGCTTCATGCCTAAAAAAAGAAAGAAAAAAAAAGTCAAGTAGGGCTTTAATCAAAATTCCTTTAATTAAAAATTTGATTTACGCATTATTAAAAAAGATAAAATGTAACAAACAATCCTCTCATGCTCTTTTTAATTCACGTCCTTTTACTTCTATTAAAATTTCAAATTCACTCCCCAACAGGTTCACATACATTTATATAAACTATAGTTCACTGTAGGGCTGTGTGATATGACCAAAATCTCATATCCCGATATAAGAATTCTATCG